GATATTAACATGTTCTTATGCACAGCAGAATTGTAAATTGGCTGATTTATCAATGTCATGCTCAAGCTGTGGTGGAACAATATAGGGGAAACTGCTGCTTTTTTCCCCCACATCCTTACTATCGTCATTCTCCATCTACTTCTTTTGTATTTTTGTCCCTTTCTTGTGAATTGCTATTTCCGGGGTACCTTGATAGTCGAAGCAGACTTTGTGGTGTTGAGGCTAGAGGGGTAAGCCTGATTCCTCATTTGGGCTTTTCTGTTGAGATCCGCCCCTTGGCGTTCATCTTATGCAGTTGCGAGCGCCATAAAACCTTACTAAAACTAAACTAACGTAGGTATAGATGAAGTAAATTGCATAAAAAATAATATGACTTTTTGTGTTGCTAAACTGTCTGCCTATTATTTCTGTTTGGTATCTTCTGACATTAACCAGCTCTATACTGTATGACCGTGGGTGGTTGGCGGGTGCTCTGGTGCGGTTTGCTTCTTTTTTCGTCCTTATCCCCCCTTCTTCTTTTTTTAATGTAGTAATGTTTGTTACTCTCTTGTAACACCTCTAATCTTCGGCACCTATATGCCCGTATTGTGTTGTAAGTGCTGTAAAAACACTTACTAAAACAAATACGGCATGGCCGTTGTTGTAAATACATGTACATGTAGTATGTCCGCGGGCTTTGGGTTGATTGTATGGTGAGACAAGTCACTTTGTACTTGAGTTGATCGGCTCTCAACAACAATAACAATTAATAATTTGTATTTTTAGGGCAGCTTCAATTATGTGCAGAGTAAGATCTCTCTCTCTCTCTGTCTCTCTCTCTGTCTCTCTCTCTGTCTCTCTCTGTCTCTCTCTCTCTCTCTCTGTGTGCGCGCGCGCGCGTGCGTGTGTGTGCGCGTGGGCGAGCGCGTGCGTATCTATAATGTTGCTGCACGTGTGTGTGTGTGTGTGCTGATGAATGTGTGAGTGTATGTGTACGCCCGTGTAAACGAACTCGAGATTGTGTGTTTTAGTATGGATGGCTTTCACCCTAGCCTATACGTTCTTATACTAACCGTTCTCTGACCGTCCAGCTCTCATCTCATCGCCTTTGGGTGGGCGGTCGCGGGGGTGGGAAGAAGAATATTCTTATTGTTGCTTCTGTCCGTGCGATGTCGTGGTTACGAGGGAACTCAAAATGAAGAACTCCGAAAGGGTGGGCTTCTACTGCTCGGGTGGTTTGAGGGCGTCACTGATAGTCCTGCTTTTTGCTGGGGCATTCTGTGGCTTCTGGTCTTTCTTAGTTCTAGTTTTAGTAGAGGTTTTGCGGCGCTCGCAATTGCATAAAAGGTCATATGAGCACCAGAAGATTAGATGTCTTACAAGAGAGTAACAAACATAAAAAAGAAGAAGGTGAGATAAGTACAATATATGTTTGATAGGAAAGAAGCAAACCACACCATAGCACCTGCCAACCACCCACGTCGTCTTCCTGTCTTTATATTCCCCATTATGAAATGATTAGTGATTTTTATAATGTCACAAAACTTCATATACTCAGATCTCCACCCGTTTCTTGTTATTTTAAAAAAAATCATACTTACTAAAAATAGTTATAATGCGTTTGGTGATTTTAGAAAGCATAAACCGAGTGAAGGTGGTTTAGTTTTGTATCAACGTTATTTTCTTTTTCGCGTACATTTTCCAGGAGCCTGGGACTAGTGCAGCCAGTAAGGCGCTTTGTTAACTCAGTTGAAATCACGCTTAAATACAGAGTGACTGGCAATTGTTCGAACCCCTGACTGGGCGTTCTTAAATTCGGGTAGTTTTGTAGGGTTTTCAAGGCTCTATACTCTATACCCCATTGGCTCGATCCTATCGGAGACGGACGTTAAATGACCAAATACGTGTCGTGTTGATAGGGCGTTAAATCCACACACTTACACTACTTGAGGGCAGTTGTAGAATTATATACCCTGGGTCTGTGTCAACTGTGTCACAAGCCAGATGGCTAATTTATGACAATAACAGTAACAGGTGTCTCGATTTGCGTTGTGCCATATAGATGACACTAGGCACTGTAGCTAGTTATGGTTTCTGCTGTTGTCATTGCGAATTGCGTAGGCTAGTGAGTGATTTGTTGTGTGGCTCCTCGTGGAGTGTAGAGAGCAGGTGGTTGGTGGTCGCTCTCATGTCGTCTGCTCCTACTATGTGCCTCTTTTCGATATAGAATATTTCGCTGTTGTCCTGCTTTCTTTCTGGTGAAACTGTGTGTCGATAACGCCGTAAAACGTACACTCAAACAAATTCCCGGTGAAATGAGTTTGTTATCTTCCTGGCTCACAGTTTACTACTTGCCGATAAATATTTGAAAGGGCAAATGACATGACTTTCGTTGCCTGAGGCACAGTTTGGTGGAAAGCGCAGAGGGTAGGTTTTTACACAGGTGTATGTACCAGATTTCTGATATTTCTTTCATGAATCGTTTTCTTCAGTACGTTTCCCCGCAGAACAGTTGGGTCGTGCGGGTGGTTGGAGGGCGCCTCTGGTAGGACCTACTCTTTTGCTTTCCCTCTGTTTTGTGTGTGTCTCTGTCTTGCTTCTTGCCTGCAGGTTACTGTGTTGATGTGTTTCTCTTTATTCAAACTCCAAACTCAAACTCTTCCTTACGTCGTCTTTAGTACGCTTCCCGTCAGAACAGTAGGGCCGTTTTTTAATTTGTGTGTGTGTTGGGGCGGGGGGGGGGGGGGGGCGTCTTTCTGCTTGAGTATGTTTGATCTACTCAGCCTCTTGGGGTAATCCGTTTGCGTGGCGGTACACAGCTGAATTTTTTGTGGGTCAGAATTGAGGAAGTTCATGTGGTTGTCGGGTGCTCTGGTGTGGTTTGCTCCTTCTTTCCTATTGGTCATCTATCTTGCTCACCTCCCCTTCTTTTTCGTGTTTGTTACTCTGTTGTGACGCATTTAATCTTCGAGGGGGCTCTCGTGGCCTAGAGGTTAAGGTGTTGGCCTCTCATTCAAAGGTCCTGGGTTCGAATCCGGGTAGCGACCAAAAAAATTTCTTCTCTAAAATTGTCTCCTTTCACCTCCTTTCCTGCTCTCTAGCAATGTTCTGTTGTCTGCTTTCATTTCCACTTTCTGCCTCCACCCCCTCACCTCCTTTGCCCCCTCCTCTGGGCTCCTGACTCTTTCTGCAGCCTTTCTACTGCTACTCCTTGGCTCCTCCTTACTGCTGTCTTTCTGCCACACCCCTGGTCTTCTGGTAGGAAAGATCTACACCTAGCCTTCTCGGACAAGGGTGAAAAATCTCGGAGGGCGCGTGTGCAAGTTGCGCACGTTAAAGATCCCTTGGTGGTCTAAAATCGATAAGAGTAGGCTTCGGCCGCCACCCGGGCAAAATTCAAAATTTCCTACCAACTGAAAATATTAGGTGTGTCCCGCGCGCTCATATGACCTTATGCAGTTGCGAGCGCCGTAAAACACTTTACAAAAACAAACAAAAACAAATTTAATCTTCGGCACTTGTATGACCTTGTTGTATTGCGAGTGCTGTAAAACTTTTACTAAACTAAAACAAAGTAAAACGGAGCGTCAAGCAAACTGATAGTGATTCTTGTTGTATGGGGCCAAAGTTACATTCCCGGGCTAAATACATACTCGATTGCTTGGCTTCAGCTGTTCCCCAGCATTAAATGAACCTTATTGCATCAATGAGCTTCTCTTCTCTCAAGCAAACAAACACTATTTCACGACTAATTTTTCGTTCAGTCGTGTAAAATCTTTCTTTCGAACCGTTGGAAGTGCTTCCGGGTACGGATTCTGGAAGGTTGGGGTTTGAGTCTGGGTAATGTCCTAATTATTGGTTGCCTTTTTCGTGGACTTTTTTCTGAGCTTGGCTTCCCTATATCGCAGCGAAATGGTATTGGTGGGTGGTTGGAAGGTGTCGCAGATCGATGCCACAACTTTACCTCGATTTCTATCTATCAGTGTATGTGGTTGACGGGTACTCTGGTGTGGTTTGCGCCTTCTTTTCTTTCAAACGTCTATCGTCCTTACCTCTTTACCTTTTTTTCTTGTGTTTGTTACTCTTTTGTAACACCTCTAATAGTGGTTGGTTGGCGGATGCTCTGGTGTGGTTTGCTCCTTTTTTCCTATCAAACATCTATCGTCCTGATCTGATGGGTGCTCTGGTGTGGTTTTCTCCTTCTTTCCTATAAAAAATCTATCGTCCTTATCTCCCCTTCTTCTTTTTTTGTTACTCTCTTGTAACACATCTAATCGTCTGGCGTTCATATGACCGTATGCATTTGCGAGCACTGTAAAACCTCTACTAAAACTAAACTGATCTCTCCTTCTTTCTTGTGTTTGTTACTCTCTTGTAACACCTGTAGTCTTAGGTACTTATATCACCTTATTGTGTTGCAAGCGCCGTAAAACTCTTACTAAAACTAAACACCTCTAATCATCGGCACTTATATAACTTAATTGTGTTTCGAGTGCCATAAAACGCTTTCTAAGACATACTTTTCACAGTATTGCTATTTCCCTTGCACTTTATGGCCGTTTTTGTGTTAATGCTCATCTCTTTACATAAACAAAGAGATATATCTGGTGCCTTTGGAATGATTAGGATGTAATGAATGTCTGAGGTGGCACTATAGATATTTTATTTAGTGTCACTTTGTTATGCGTTACTTCACACGGCCCCTGGTTGCTTTGACAGAGAGGGGTGAATCAGCCCTCTTGGTCAATAATCTAAATTGTACTCATGGGAGAACGCATATTTTTCCCCCGCCATCAGAAGTAATGGGCGGGTGGTTGACATGTGCTCTGATGTTGTTAGCTCCTTCTTTCCTATCAAACATCTATCGTCCTGATCTCCTCTCTTTCTTTTTTTGGTGTTTGTTACTCTATTGTAACACCTCTAATGTTCAGCAATTATTTGATCTTCTTATTGTGTTTCAAGTGCCGTAAAGCTCTTATCAAAAGAAATAATGGAAATGCTTTGTTTCATTTCTTCCCCAGTCTTGACCCAGCTCAACTCCCTGATGTCACCTTAGGCATGTCCTCATTTGAACCCAACACTCCAAGTAAGACCCACTGTACATTTTATCAGAGAGGAATATGAGAAAGTATGGGTGTGTGTGTGCATGCTTGCCTATGTTATGTGTGTGTGTGCATGAGTGCGCACGCGTGTGTGTGAAACACCAAAAAGCTTTGTGCCGGCATCTGGACAATTAAGACTTGTTTTGTCTTGTCTGTCTTGTATGTCTTGTCTCATCTTATCTCATGTTATGTCCAGTTCTCTCTTAACTTGCGAGTAGTTTGAAGGTGCCACGGGTAGGTTTTACTTTTGTTTTCTGTCCTAATTTTCCGGTCTCTCTTCCTTACTTTGTGGGTGGTTTGCGGGTGCTCTGGTGTGTTTTGCTTCTTCTTTCCTATCAAACATCTATCGTCCTTAACTCCCCTTCTTCTTTTTTATTTTTATTACTGTCTTGTAACACCTCTAATCCTCTGGTGCTCATATTATTGTGTGGATGTGCTCATCTTTGCTCAAATAAACTGGCTTAACGTGCGATAACTGATTACTGTGCAAATGATGTATGGAATTCTGGTGTCTATTGTGTCAGGGTTAGGTTGCAAGTTTGAATCCCCTTAAGAGATGATGTTTTATTGAGCCAATGAAGTAATACTAACTGTTCTCTTTAATTGCTCTGTGTTTGTATTGAATGTATTCTGTCTCTGTTCTATTTAGGAGAAAGGTTGCTCTGATGTTCGCTGCTGTGCAATAGAAGTATCTATGTATTTGAAATGTAGGCCATAAGAGGATGTCTCCTGTTTGCTAGAGTACATGCAACTGCATTCACCTTAGGAAAGGATATTGAAAAAAATGTAGCATGACAAAATTTCCATCTCAGAGATGCTGAAAGAGGGTGGTTGGCGAGTGCTTTGGTTTTACTTCTTCTTTCCTATCAAACATCTATTGTCCTGATCTCGCCTTTCTTTTTTGTGTTTGTTGCTCTCTTGTAACACTTCTAATCTGTGGCACTTGTATGACCTTATTGTATTGCAAGTGCCGTAAAACTTACTAAAACTAAAAACTAAGAGATGCTGAAAAGATCAGGAGTTTCCATGGTATTTATATTCTCATGCAGCCAAGACTGGGACTGATAAGGTTGTTCTCACTGAATCCTGAGATGAGAAAGTACTAAAAGACCATCTACCTAGATAACTTGAGAACGAAAGTGGGAAATTAAAAGAATAAATACATTTATCAGTGTTTCTGAAATTCAAAGGTGCCCGCAAGAGGGACATGACCTCAATGATGATCCACTTTTTAATCTGGGAACATATGGCTGATTGTCAAAGCAAATTTGGGGAAGTCAAGACCAGTCTAAAGAGGATAGTTAACGTAACCTTGTTATCTCCATTATATCTTTGCTATTAATGTATTTGCCTATGGTACTCTCTCTTACTTTTATTCAGTGAAACCCTGTTGACGAGTTTTAGCACTATGTCTGCCTCCTGCAGTTAAAGCATTTTCAATATGGCACGACCCTTGATATTTCAGAGCTATGGGAGGCTTGAAGGTCATGGAAAGTCAGATATACATGAAACAGAAACATTTTCCAGTTTACAGTGGTGGCAGCAATATGCCACCTAAAATCACTCTCACACTAGGTTAGAAATGGAGGTTCCTAAAAACAATGGATACACCGGAAAAAAAAAAGGTCTTCTGACATGCAGTACTGATTGGCCTCTGTTTTTTTGGGGGGGGGGGGGGCTTTTATTGTTTTCAATCAAAATGTGTGGCTGATACTACTATTTAAAAAAAATAATTACTGGGTGATAAAAAAAACAACCCTCCATGACTTTTTTAGTGTTAATATTTTCCTCCGCGTTCAAGCTTTGCGCTGTAAATTTGAACACACCATTTGGAATTTTAAAAAATTTGGCTGATATTCATTGTATTCTTTGTTTTAGTTAATGTTTTATGGCACTTTACAGCACAATTAGGTCATTTAGGTGCAGAACATTAGAGGGTGTAGCAAACACAAAATGGGAGGAGAGATAAGAATAATAGATATTTGATTGGAAGAGCACCCGCTAACCATTCATTTCAGATAATTCCACGGAATGCTTATTATGGCACATAAAAAACACAACCTATTTTCAACTGTGTATCCATTAAAAACTATTTTTTTGTGCAAGACACACTATACTAGTTTGCATCAGGCCAACCACTAAAATTCGCAAAGATCGGACCATATTGCAATGCAAACTACAGCAATAGAAGTTTGCTGATATTGATTTTCTCAGATTTCCGTTGTCTGATGAGATCTTGGTAAGTAAAGAGCTGAGAGCATTTTGTTTGGAACAATACCTCTCCGCCTGGTATTTTATATGTTCCTTACTATGTGCAGGAAGAATACAAAAATGCCCTCAAGGCCTTCTTTGATGTCATGGGTAAAGAAGTTCCATCAGTTTGTATCTATAGAGAACGGTACCATTTTCATGTTTACAAGGCTGTCATGGATCAAAGGATGGCAGTGTGTTCGTGGGTCCTCGATTGTCCTGAAAAAAACCCAAACTTGAACATTTCTGCAATGACCTCTGGTTTAGTGGCAAGGCCCATATTCTCATTTCAGTATATGTGAACTCCAAAAATGCTGTCTTTTATTGTTTCACAATTGCAACAGCTGTAACAACACCAAAACAGTAGCAGTGGAACAAGAAAACGGCTCCAAAAAAATAACAGTGGAGCAAGAAAACGGCTTCAAAAAAATAACAGTGGAGCAAGAAAACGGCTCCAAAAAAATAACAGTGGAACAAGAAAAAAGTCAGTGTATTATTGTATGGTACTGTGTAATGCCGTGTTTATTATTTATATAACATATTTGTTTTCTCCCTTTGCCTACAGAAATGAGCAAGCCCAGCCACGGGCGCATCTCACCTGTGAGAGGTCGTACGATGAAGGAATACGACCAGGTATTTGTTCCCACTCAAAATACCATGAAATCTTAATGAATCTAGATGTTTTTGCAAGCCGTAACTATTTTTTTTCCTGTTTTGTTTTGTCTCCTTTGCTAAAAAACAGACTTTTTTATTTACATTCTGCAGGCACCATGAATGAGAAAAATTGTTAGTTCTTTTTTTTTTTTTTTTTACTGAGAGGGGTTTATGGGGAGGACTTGTTTTTTTTTTTTTTTTTTGTTTTTCTTTTTTTTTACTGAGAGGGGTTTATGGGGAGGACTTTTTTTTTTCTTCTTTCATTGTTTGCTCGTTTTACAATAAATTCATTGCAAGCAATGAGTGGCACCATTGGGATGCTGACTTGCAGGACACGTCGTCCCATTGCAGGGCTGCCCATATTTACGAATTTGGCGAAATCGTTACTATATTCATTCAGTTTTAAGAAAATATGATCATAGTACCCCAGATTCCGATTTTTAAACATTTCAGCTACCTCAACCCACTGCTAACTTTCCCAAGTATAGGGATAGAAGAACTAACACACCCGAACAGTCTACGTCTTGTGCAGCTGTCTAACTTTAACACCCTCTTTGCATTGAGCCCTTGCAGTTGCTCAGTGCCACTACAGAAGTGCTAAAGCCTGGAGAAAACACACATGCTTACAAGGTGTGAGAAAATTCCTGCCCTTTTGTATTGTGGGTGACAGCCTAGGCCGATGAGAGAATAATAAAAAAGAAATGGATCATTGTTTGAAACTTGAAACATTTAGCTACAGTGAGTGGGTGGCATGATGTGCTGTGATGATCGATTAGGATCGAAATCAAGGCTTGTGAAGTACTATGTAATTTCAATGATTTCTTTTGTTTTTGCAAACAGTAACCCCCACTCTCCCTTTTTTCCCTTTAAAAAAAAAAAAATCAACAATCGCAAGCCCACCAAGACCTTTTTTTTTTCCGTCTAAAATCTGTTTTCGTTACATTAATACTTGACTACAACCCCTGTCCTTGACGCCCCAGGAAAGAAGAGTATCCATGGCCTTATTAATATTACGAACTTTGAAGACAGATTACTAATTTTTTATTTGTTGATTATTAAAACATATATGCTGATGGGTTGGCAGCCCTGCCATTGTGCAGGGAGAGGGTTGCTGTGGTAGGCCATACTACTTTTACCCTGTCTTCTTCGTCTGTTGTCTCTGCTCCCTTCCTATTTTCTTTGCTCACAGTGCTTAGAATGTGCTCACAAATTTTTATTAAATTGGTTTAAGATGAGAAAAAAAAGTGTGAAAAAATGTTGATTTTTTTCCTCACTTGACATTCTTTCTTTCCTTTTTTTTAAATACAATCTGTTTTTTCTTTAACATGTTTTTACCTTTTGTGTATTGGAGAGTCTGCATCAGTATCAAGTATTGCTTGTCTTTTAATACCCTTGAAGAAAGGAGGGGAAGAAAACAGAACTTTCACATTTGCTTATCTCTGTTGGCTTCTGGTTCTCCATTGCCTCAAAGACTGGATTGTTAAAATTCCATGGGGATACTTTCTGTTGTTTATGGGTTATGACCTTGGCTACCACTCATTACAGAGGGATACAGCTGTGTAGGTAAAGTCATGCTCTTTTGTAACTGGGAAAATGAGTTTAACTTTTGTATATCCGTCCTCTCTCTTAAGAGCTGATCTTCAAGTATCATGGCGTTACACACTATTACAGTCTTTGATGCAAATCTGTTCAGAACACATTTTTTGCACGGTGTTGCTTTTTGTTGCTTGTTGTGTAGTCTCATGATGATTGTTTGCAGCAAATATCTGAGCTCAAGAAGGAGAACTTCAACTTGAAGATGAGGATCTACTACATGGAGGAGTGGATGAACCAAAGATATGGAGATGGCCAGGATGTTTTCAGAACGGTAAGAAAAGTTTAACGCTTTGCAGGCCGGTGAAAATTATCCGTTCCTGTCAAGTGAGCCAGGCCCGAGAAGTCTGTTGCAGTCGCTCTCCTGGCTTGGTGACCAGATGGGGTATTTTGTACTGCTGGCTGTGTGACTGCAAAGTGTTAAAAATGTAATCAAATTTGAGTAACTTAATATAAATATTTATCATGGACTGGAATCTGCAGGGTGAGAGGTCAAGGGGAAGACCTGGAAGAGAGTTGCAGAGATTGATGAATTGATGTCTAGAAAATTCAAAAGGCATGGAAGGCCAAGAATTTAGCCCAAAATAGGGAAAAGTGGAAAATGTTAGCTAAAAGCTTACACCCTGATTCAGGGTGAGATAGGCAAGGAGGATTAATCGGTGTAGAAATATTACATCTGGTCTGTGCAGATCTCTATGTAACAACTGCAAGTAGTCCTCCCACAAAGTGCATGATTGCTGAATGCTGCCATTTGCTCTGCACTTACTTATTTTCAAAATTTTCTGTAGTCCATATCTGCAGGAGATTGGTAGGTCCTTCTTCTTTTCTTTTCCTCTGCTGCTTGTGTGTTCTGTCTGTCTTACCTTTTCCATACGCTATATGACTTCTATTGTGTGTGGATGTGCTTCTTTTTACTCAAATAAACTAATGTCCAAATTTCATTGTAAAAGGTAGTTGATACTGTGTAGACTTATAGTGACTTGCAGCTGAACTCAACCGATTTGGCCCCACCAAAATATTATTACACAGTTATTGCTATGAATGTAGCGGCAATAGAGTATGCTATGGTAATATTTGTTTTAGTACTTGTGAAAGGTTTTTCCTCATTTGAATTTCAGTAGACAATACTGTGCTTTAAAAATTTTTTTTCAGAACATTGAACTGCAAGTGGAAATTGAGAATTTGAAGAAAGAGCTCACTGAGAAGCAAGTCATAGTGCACAAAGCTGCGTAAGTTGTTTCATTATGTAGCTGTGATGTTTTACCTAAGAGCTTGGGGGGGGGTTGCGTCTTGTATTTTTTTCTTTTCCAAAGTTTTCTCATGTCTGGAAATGGAACTAACACTACCGTGCAGAATAATGACAAATGCACAAGACAATAAAAAATAAGAAATCTTATGAGTGTCTGAGAAGTGTATGCTAAGATATCATAAAATAGATAATTATTAGTGCTGTACCATACTATACTATCAGCACAAGAATTTTTTCGAGGCTGCAAAGTGCTTTGAGCAGGTTTCTCTGCCTGTTGCTCTGGGTTTCTTTCTTCTCTGTTTTTTACTTTATCCTTTGGATGTTGAGCTTCATTTTGAAAGGACCTATTTCCTTCTCGAAAAGCATAACTCATACTGACACAGATACAAGCAAATTGTTGTACTGTTTCTGAATGTATCATATTGAACAAGTGCATAATAGAAGATGCCTCTGGTTGGTCCCAGTTCTTTACTCTTTAATTTTTGTATGCTGTTTCTGTCTATATACATTTTTTCCCCCCCAAATATAAAAATGTCTGTGTGTTCAATGTGCTTTTCTTGACACAAACTTCATCATATTGATGCTGAAGGTTTAGATAATTTTTTTCCCCTCTACTCTGTGTATGGGGTTAGGTTACTACTGGAAAGTCCTGTTTCATGAATTTACTGTTTCAGACTTTATGGCTTGCTTCTCACCATTATTGTTTTGATATATTCTACGGTAGAGTTGGGTCGGGCTCGCAAAATTAGCGTCCGCGAGTAACGAACAACTCTTTGGCTCTACCCGCAAACGAGCGGACGGGTAATGAACCATCCGCTTGTGAAGAGTAGTTCACTACTCGCTACACATCAGACAGAGACAACAGTTCGATTAGCGAGCGGGCGGACCGAGAGACTCCATGCATTCGAGCGGGCGGATGGACGGGAGTGACTCCTTCCATTGCATACAACTTACAACCCCCCGCCCCCCCCCAAAAAAAAATAAATAAAAAAATCACCCTCTTGCCTCACATTGTAGCTAGGAGTTCATGGCAGAAATTCCCCCCCCCCCCCCCGGCCTTTGCGATAATTGGAACGTACACAGTGTGCCCGCGCACGAGGTGAAAGGTTACACACATAGTACTACGTCACCAACCTCTCACTCCCTGTGGCACCACTAGGCTAGTGGCTTGAAACGTTTGGCCTAATTAACAAACAATAGACCGTGGGCCTAACCTCGCGTCGAGTATCTCGTCTGCTAGAGTTTGTCCGTTTGCCTGCCCGCCCAGTGAATAAAATTGTGGAGCGGACCCAAAAAACGAATCGACTTGAGGCTTGAGGTCCACAGTCCACTCGCTGAGAGAGTCAAATTGTGGAGCGGACCCAAAATAACGAACTGTCTTTGAGGTTCGCAGTTCGCTCTTATGGCCGTCCGTTACCCGCTCGCTCTGACTGAGTCCGCGAGTAACGATCCGGTCCGTCCGCTCGCCCCAACTCTACTCTACGGTAACTCTTCACTCAGCTTGGCGATGGAGACGCTGACAACCAATCAGAAGCAGGCGGAAGAATCGATGCGCAGCAGAATTCTACTTGAGCAGAAGGACGCCATGGACAAACTGAGAGACCAGCTGGAGGATTCTGTGAAGGTGAGTGGCTGCATTGCATGTTGTTGGTCAATGCCTGCACAGCCATATTATTGTATTATGACTTTGCTGGTGTCCCCTGCCCCTCCCATTGTTGACAATTATTGCCCTTCAACCTGCAAAGTTTTTATTTGTTATTTTAAAAAATAATATGAAAGAAGCATGTTTATATGGTTTTTAAAAACCCAAGGAAACTTTCTTTTTATATCTGAATACTTTAGTAGAGTGATATAAGTTGAATGTTTTTCTATATATGACGTCAATGTGCAATTTGAGAATAAAAGTATATATCAACATCTGCTGTGACGTCTTTTTGGAAAAGCAAACAAATCTCTTCTTATCAGGGACTGATGAATATTGAATGAAGCAATCACCATTCAAAAGGACAAGTCACTGCTTTATTTGAGAAAAGAAACAAAATTTCTTTGTCTGTACCCTGGATGGCATCTATTATATTGAAGCTAAGAAATAGATATGAGTACACATCGTTTAGTGACTGGTTAGTCTTGTATTATTAAAAGATGGAGCAGCTGCCATAGTTAAGTATGGTTCACTTTTTTATAGGAAAGGAAAAAAAATCCAGCGCGTCTTCATCAACTCATGTCACACTTAATTCATTTATCTGTGAAAAAGAATAGTACAAAGGGGCAGTTATTATGGACGGACAGGTCCTGTATACAATCTGAATAAACTTCTCTTTTTAAAAAGTTTTAACCAAAAATGGATGTTTGTTTTTGTTTTTCTTCGTGGCTTCAGAACTGTGACAAGTATGCGAAAGAAGCAGAGGATGCAAAGAAAAGAATGGAAGCTCTGAAGCAACAGCTAGATGATGGCCTGGCTGACCTGTCCAACGCTAACAGGGCAAAGGAGGTCAGTGAAACTACAGTGATCTGGCTGGTAGCATGTGTGCTCCAGCCTCATAGAGTTGAAATTTAGTGCTGTGTTGACCCTTTAGTTTGATGTCCTTGCTGCGTCATCAAGGAATTTTCAGGTTTTGAATATGAGTATGAACTCTCAAATATGTGGGCCGTTGGAGGGTGGGTAATTTTGATACCTTTGCTGCATTATCAAGGATTTTGCAGGTTTTATATTTGAGGGTGATCTTTCAAATTTGCAAGCAGTCGGAGAGTGCTTCTCTTAATTCTTTTCAGTGTTATTACTGTATTTGATTTGTCCTTTGCTAAAAACTGTGATGCCATTATTGATCAGATTTACTGTTAATTACACAATGCAACCGTATCTGATCCTGACATGTCATTATTTATGAAGCAAGACATGTCTCTTCTGCCTATTCAAACTGCCTAGTAGCCCTTTACGCTGTTATAATTTGACTATAGCTGGTTTTTTATTAGTGGATAGTTATATTTTGCTCTTTATTTTGTTTTTGTTTAAAAACATTTTTTTTTTATATTGACAGGAGCTGGCGAGCAAAGTGAAGAACTCAGAATTGTGAGTATAGCCTCAATTTTATTTGATTGGATATTTGTATATTATACACTTTGTGTGTGTGTGTGAATAATATGTTTGTGTGTGTGGAAGGGGGGAGGGGGGCTCCTTTGGCATTCGAAGCTGCTGTCAGAAATTTCTCTCCTTTACCTATTATGAAGAGTGTTTTGCTTGGAAGATTTTCTGAAGTTTTTGTCTTGACTTGTCTTACCTGTTGTTGGTTGTCCAGTGACGTGCAGACCCTGACCGCCCAACTCAAGTTGTCAGAACAGGCCCGTCAGGACCGGGACAAAGAGAACGGCATGCTGGGACAGCGCATCAAGGACCTGGAGGAGCAGATACAAACGGCTCGGAAACAAGTCTCTCGCCGGGACAGAGACGTGCTGGTAAGAGACAGTAAACCCTGCATGTATGCCATTTGTGAGTGTTGCAGTTGGTGTTGCATTTTGCCACTTTACAATTACTGTTTGTTTTGTGGGTTTTTTGTTTTTTGTTTTTTGGGGTTTTTTTGTGTTGGACTTTGGGTTTGTCCTTCAATTGATCAGATATAGGGACTTCACCACTGATTTTCTTTTGTTTTTCAATTTTTTTTTTCTTAACGAAAAAGTCCTGAAGAGTGTATAGCACTGAGTTGGGGTGGGGGATTGGTCGAAACTTAATTTTTTTTCTTCTTTTTCTTGTAAGGGCTGTCTGTTACCCAATGCATAATTAAGATCAGTGCTGATACTTAACTTGATTTTCGTGATTTCTGGATTATGTTTTTAGGATCAAGAAAGATTTGTTTATTTTTGCCTAAGAGTTATCCAATTGGTGATTCTAGCTTTACCTTGTGTAGTTTTTTTAAATTGTGTAAATATCTTGTAAAATTGGAGAATCCTCAAAGCTTTTTTTGGTGTGATCTCAATTCATTTTTTTGGCCTGATGTGTTTCTGTGATTCCTTCTTCTCTGTCCTGTTGGTCTATTTATAAAGGTTTACATTTGTCATGAGTGATAACTTAGGTGGTGCTATAAATTTAAGCTTGTAGACTTAATGGGTAGACAGAAATGTCTGTGTGGTGTGTATTTGTTTGTGTGTAAATTAGTATCATGTGTGAGTATTATTGTGTATCATTTGTCTATCAATGTGTGAGCATGTATTGGGTGTATCTGAATAAGATAATGAAGGTGTCTTTATAGCGAATTGAGCCCTGATCAACAGTTGAATAGTTTTGAAATGAAGAAATTACTGATTCAGGGAACAAAGGATTTTACGTAAATGTGAATTACATTGCATTACTTTGTGTTCTCACTTGTGTTTGAATTTCATTTTTTAAAGTATACTTGCATATATTTGAAAAGTTTGTTATCATAATTCTTTTTTGCTGCATATTACTCTTTTTGCATCCATGATTCTTACATACAGGGTGAACTCTGCTGCACTGTGCAGGGCATCCTGTTTTGTGCATCTTGCCCTGTTGTTATTAGTGTGTGCATGTATGTGTACCTATTTGTTTGTTTGTCCAGAATCTCTCCACCCGTCTGCAAGATCAGTTGCATGTTGACAGCACAGCCCTGCTTGAGCCAATTCATTTGAAGGTTTGATATTTTTCACATAGCTTGGAACTTTTTACTATCTCCTTACATCCGTAACCTTTTGAGCCCTGGGCTCCTGATCCCAATTTTACCGAAATTTTGGCCTCTTGAACTTCTGGGTTTAGGGAGCGAACGCTTTATCTTGGAAAAAAAACCAACCCCAGTTAATTGGCGCAGAATGTGATCAAAACATGTGTGGAAGGGTGCGGTGCAGACATATTATTGGTATCCCATAACAGCATGTCGACAGAAACTGGCTTTCTGACTGATTGAAAATACTGGCTTTTTCTTCCTGATAATTTAGTGTTTTTTCCTCTTACCAAAAAACCAGTGCTACGGATTATTGCTGCCGAAAGCTCCACTGGTGTACCGTTGCTATGGGCTCAAATGCTTAGGGGGGGGGGAGGGGGGGGGAGTCAAAATTTGGCTCACAATTATGGAATTTGAGTTGTAGGCATTTTTAGCTTCCTCAGCCTCTCCTACATCTATTTCATTACATAAGAACCCCCCAAAACACGGTATTTTTTCCCATATTGGACATGTTTGTCACCGCCATTTCCTCATAAAGTCAGTATTTTAAAAAATCTTTATCGGCTGTTTTGTCAAAACGCGACTTTTCTCTATACTTTTTTGAATAACTCCACCATTTTTCATCCAATCTTCATGAAATTTTCACAGAATGAAGAGAAGTTATAATGCTAAAAATTTGTATGTTGAATTTTTGATAAATGGAATAGATTTTTGTTGGTGGTGTCTGGAGTGTGGATTTTTGCGTACTTTTTGAGACTTGAATGCTACCTCAGGAAAAAATTCATAAAAAATTTTCTAATTCATTTAGAAAAAAAACCAACAGACAAATTTTTAGATCTAATGTTTGTGAACATGCATGCAAAGATACATTTAATTTCCATGAGCGATAAGTGCGGTATTCATTACGTAAAACATGTATACAATATCTAATATCGACAATTTCAGAATAAACATCAATGGCCACGAAATATCAGCCCAAACTAAAATAAAAAATTTAGGTGTGGTGCTCGATCAAGATATGTCAATGAAATACCATATATCCAATCTTTGTAAAAATCTATATCTCCAGCTGAAGAAAATAGGGAGCATTAGAAAATATCTTTCTGTTGGTGTCACCAAAACTTTAATAACATCACTTATATTGTCAAGGATTGATTATTGCAATTTCTTACTGGCTGGTGTACCTGATGAACAGTTACAACAACTACAAAGGGTACAAAATATTGCTGCCAAAATAATTACTAAAAAACTAAAGCATGATCATGTGACTCCTATTTTAAAAACATTACACTGGCTCCCAGTGAAAGAGCGTATCATATATAAAATCTGTTTAACTTGCTACAAGTGCTTAAATGATTTATCACCAGACTATCTATAACAGCTTTTAACACCCTATGTGCCTCCAAGAACGCTCAGATCATCAAGTGACAAAACAACCCTTGTTAAGCCTAAAATAAATTACAAATCATATGGCCAACGCTCTTTTTCATATTTTGCCCCACTTGTTTGGAATAGGCTTCCAAAAACTATCAGAGAAGCAGAAAATCTAGAAATATTTAAGAAGAAACTAAAAGCATTTCTATTTTCATCATATTTCGATTAGACAGAATCCATCCAAGCTGTAGATCGTTGTGAGTTTGTATGTGCGTATGTGCATATGTACGTATGTGTGCATGTATGTGTGTGTGGTGCGTGCGTGAGTGAATATGTGTTTGCACGAGTATGTAACACTATGTACCTTTAAAATTGATTTGTAAATCCATAATATGTATTATGTTAAGCGCATAGAGCATTGCATAAGTGGATATGCGCTATATAAATGCAAAACATGTCAACAATATCTAATATGGCCGCCGTATCCATGGAAACGGAACTTTTTCTCAAATTTGATTGCGGATTTAAAGATTCCTTACTATGCTTGTTTAATGTGTGAAATGTGGTAAAATTCGGTCCAGTAATAAGCGAGATAGCCTTCAGGTGTAGCCCCCCCCCACCCTTAAACACCCATTACCGATGACTCTACAGTAGCTGTTTCTTCAGTCTGTTTGCATGTGATTCTCACTTGTTTTTGTGCAAAGCAGTGTCTACCTTTTAATCTTTTCATTCTCACACGCACGTTCTACAGCCCTGCTAGTCTGTGTGAGACATTCTTGGACTAGTATGTTAAAAATACAAGTGCTGTAGCATCAAACGGTAAATTAAAAAGTACTTCTTAGTTGGATTTATATCAGAATCGTGACAATGGCTGTTGACTAAAGGTTAAGATTTGCTTCTATTTTTTAGTTATTCTCATATTGCCCCTCAACGCTCAAGGGCAACAGAGGATAAAAAAGTAAAAAAAGTAAAGTCTCATATTATTCTAGGCCATGACGTTCTTCTAGCCTCTGACTCAGAGGGCACCACTGGGAGGTCCTCTCTGCCTCTGTTTTTTCTTCTTTGTCTGTCTTGCTTTTTCCCAGTGTCGATGTGCTTCCTTTTATTTTACTCAAGCAAACAAACAAATAATTATTTACCTGTCTTCTTTACTCTCCTATTGATTATCGATTGCTATTGTTCCTAGTTCCTCTGGCGACTCCTACTCTTCTTCCTTTCATCCCTGGATGCCTCTTCTGTTCTTCTCAGGCTGGTGGTTCTTTGACATTCTGTTATGGATTGATTCTTTTGCCTGCCTTTTGTGTCAGTCTTGTCCTAACCTATTTTTTTGTGGCTGAAGGGAGCTGCTGATATGTCCAAAAGCTTGTTCACTTTTGTCTGTCCACGTTAAAAAGACTTTAGCTCATTCTTTAGTTTGCCAATGCGCACATACATTTTGCATGACACTCCTGTAGACCAGTGGCCAAATTAAATTATTTTAAAATTCAAATCTTGATCCAGTAATAAGAATATTTCTTTATTTGGGGCCTTTATTAAAAACTCCTTTTTGGTGTATGTACTGGACTGCTACATTTAAGTGTAATCACATAATATAGTAAAACTTTGAGGGGGGAAGAGGGGGGAGTGGTCGTTTGTCTCAGACGTGGTCGTCAGGGCTGCTGTTCTACTATATTTTGATAAGTTATTATCTGAAAGTATGGATTGATTCTATTCTAGTGTGAATCAATTTCTTTCAAAGGGTATGACGAGATGGTTATGTTTCCCATAGCCATGGGAACGGTTGGGGCCCATGATTCAGAGGGATTACTTTGTTACTTTCTGTCTATCTGCCCTGTATTTTACCTCTGCTGAAGGATCATATTGCACTATTGTCATGTTGGTGAACTTTTTATTAACAGTTACAAACATGGCACTGTCACTGCTGTTGTGTGGCTTTAACTGTAATGCTGGTGTGTATGATGCACTCTACTGTTACTCTTTCCTCTTGCTCTTTACTTTACAAGCATTATTTTGTTGATGGGATACCTTTAAACAGGCTTGTCTCAGTATCAAAGCTTGCAAATTCCAGCAGGTGATGCTGTGCCACCTAATAATTTCAATAGTTGTTACATCAGTTAGAGTATTTGCGAAAGTGTCAAATTACAGCTCAGTGATATTTTTATCTATATTCAGATTTTAAAAATCTGAGTTAAAAAGAAGGAAAAAAAAAGGAATGAAAATCTGATTCAAAGTGAGGTATATGTAAAAAGATGATTGGCTCTTAAATAGTAAAAAAAAACTCTGTCAATGTGTGTTTAAAATATATACGGTTTTGAAATTATACATGTTCTAGTGGCCAGTTTTTGTTTTGCTATCTTGGTGGGTGTAGCTGAAGATATATATATATGTTTTTATGTACTGACAAAGTGTTAGGTTGAGAAGTAGTCCACCTGTAGCTTCAACCTCTTGTCTTTGTTGTTGTTTCTGATCCAGCAGCCTTTGGGCCATACAGCAGGTTATTATATAGAAAGTGAAAGTATTTCTACAGTTTTGAATGTTGCATGTCTGCTTACTGAGCGGGTGGGAGGGTGCTCGCTTTGTTTGATCTAATGTGAGCTGTTGCACTGGGTTGATGACACATTCATGTCTTCTCACAGGATGAGATGGAAGATCAAAAGGAGAAACTGGGGAAGAAATGTGCTGAGAATGAAAACCTGAAGGCCTCACTTGGCAATAAAGACGACGTCATTGGGGTATGTGTTCAGTGTGATGAGGTCCTGTTTCTTTAACGTCCCTCAGAGGGGGTGATTGGAGGACTCCACTGGTAGATCCTACTTTTTTTCTTCCATTTATGTCTACCTATCTGTCTTACTTTTTCAATGTCCTACTCTAAATAATAAATCCTCAGTTTTACGGCATATCTGTATTCTTGCTTTATTGGTGGTTGTTTTTTAAAAAATATTTATTTTTAAAGGTTAAAGGTGGAGAAATGTTCTGGTATGGGTCTTTTCAGCATTTTTGTTGTCCTCATCTTTTCTGGTGAAATGTGGCAGGTGCATCATTACCTCGCTACAAATTACAACTCAATCACTCTGATTAGAAGTGAAAATGAAAGGGGGACTGCAGAAAAGGGCGAGTTCATTTCTCTCTCTCTCTCTCCCCCTCCCCCTCTCCCTCCCTTCCTTACGTTCTTTTTCAATTTCCCTTTTCCCCCCACACTCCCCGCACTATTACCCAATTTAATGGCTGAATATTTTGATTTACTTTTCAGAGACTTGAAGATGCCCTTAGCAATATGGAAGCTGAGAAGAAGGTTAGCTGGTACACATACTTGTTGCTTTTTCTTTTTTTTTAACTGTATGGACTTCAGTTTCTGTATGTAGAATTCTTAATTTTGTAATACAGAACGTACATGTTCTCTATCTGAAGTACTTTAGATGCATTTGCTAACTTTGTGACATTCAGATAAAAGTTTTCTATAATCTGACATTGAAGGATGTATAAATTTTTCTAAAATTTGTGATTTAACTAACGCTGGTGTTTGGTATAACAGCCCCACCCCCCACACACACAAAAAATACACATAATAAATAAATACATAAATACATAGGCCAAAGACACAACGCAGAGAGTCCATCAGGAATTATTTATGTGAGATATGCTGACAAAATTAGTTACTTTTGGCAATACAAGAGTGGAGATATCGGCCGAAAATCGACTCTGGGATCAGATTTATGTATTTTCAATTGATGCCATTTTGTTCAGGTCAACGGTGTCTTTTATTATTCCTCACTTACAAATTGTACAAACTTCACCTATAAAGTCGATGCATCGATTTCTTTAAGGCTAAAATCCGAGAAGTAACTCATTTTGTCAACACACCTCACATATTGCTTCATTTACCAGTGATTTTTTGTTTGTTTTTTGAATGAACGGTTTGGCTAAGGGATACGTCGGTGGCCTAGTGGTTAGGCTCTCGGACTCGTAACCGTAAGGTCGTGGGTTCGAATCCCGTCAGAAGCCCGATGTTGTGTCCTTGGGAAAGGCACTTTACATGAATTTTCCTCACTTCACCCAGGTGAGAATGGGTACCCGGGTATAGACAGCGAAAGATCTTGTCAGTTTGTTAGTGTTTGAGCGCTTAATCAGCTGCTTGCACTGTTTGCTTCCCGGGAAACTGAGAATGTTTCGGAGTGTTGTCTGGTCTGCTGGGGTAATAATATAGTGTAAAGCGCATAGAGCCTGCTGTTGAGCGGGGATATGCGCTATACAAATGCGATTTATTATTATTAAGATTACATGGTAAAGTCACGTAAGCCCTCAGGGGGATATGGCTAGATTATAAATAAGAATGTTTACTGGGACTTCTATTAGTTACACGTTTCTGCTTTGGCGGTATAACCTGGCTCATGTACTCATGCACGACAAAAAAATCTGAGACAAATCTTTCATCTTTTTTTGAGGCTGCTGACGCTGACAAGGAACGTGCGGAGACTGCACTGGAGGAAAAGATTGTGATACTCAACAGATACAAGAAGAGTGTTGAGGGATTATTGAAGACAGTGCACGAAAAGGATAAAAAGGTAACTACATCCCATAGTTACTGTTGTCTGTGCAGTGTATACGCACTTCCAGTGTTGGTGTGGTCTGCTTCTTCCTCTCCTTTCTGTTTCAAGTGCTCTAGTAATATTGTTGCTATTGAAAAAAAAGTACCACGCAATGCATTTTACTTCCTGTGTAAGCATGTTCAAAATGACTTACTCATTTTTCTTGACACAGCGATGATTTTGTCTTAGAAATCTAGTCTGGTGGACTTATGTTCCTTTATGAAAATGCAAAATCAATGTAGATAGGAAATGCTGCATTTAAGTATATTAAAAAAATTAAAAGAAATTGATAATTATATTTTTGTTTATATTTTTTTTGTTAGTTGATGACAGGTTTTGGTTGAATATTGTCGGCAGAAATCTGGCATAGGGAAGAAAAGAGAGAGAGGGGGGTGGATAATCTTGTTTGTGTGTGTCTGTATGGTTGTTTAAGGGTCACTCTTAATTTCTCCCAGTGTAGGAACAAAAAGTGTTGGGTTGTGATATTTAATGTTGTTTATTACAGTGTGAAAAGGCGCAGACACTGCTGTCGGAGGTGCAGCAGGAGGTGAAGAGACTGCAAGAGGCTTTGAGGGATGCTGAAATGGAGAAGGCCAAAGTGAGTGACATTTGCTTTCTGTCTGTGTGGTTGACGAGTGGTGGGCGGTGTTTGTCCCGTTTTTTTGTTTTGTTGATTTGCCAGCACTAGGGAACTTCAGGTGTTGACTGGACTAAAAGAATTGCAGGACAGGCTCATGGGACAGTAGGCTGGACAGATAAAATATTAGATGGACTGATGAGACCGTAAGTGTAGATTGATTAAAACTGCAGAATGGACAGATCGGACACTTAGATTGACTGATAGCTCAGTAGGATTCAATGACAAAACAATAGAATCGTCTAAAAAAACCGTTGTGTAGATTGGTAGAGAGTATGTGCTGGTAAGACAATTTAATAGATTTATGAAAATGTTAGGGATACTGGTGAAGTTGTAAAGTAGACTGATAATACTGCGGAATACAGTGGGATAGACTGACTTGAGTGGTGGGATGGACTCATAAAATGACAGCACAGACGGTAAGCCAACGTAGTGGACTAACACAATCATGGCTTAGGTTGATATAGCTGTAGGACACTTGTAAAAGACCAGTGATGAGATAATGCGATAGTAGGATGAGACAGAAGGATTTGACCCTCAATCTGAGATTACTTTTGAGCCCAGTAGACCATACTGTAACTTCTCCTCTGATCTCTAAATGAGACAATAATATCTGGTTTTTGCTGAAGTTCCCTGTGTAGATTGCAGCTTGCTTGTTATCATTACTGTTTATTTCTGTAGTATTACAATTTACATTAATTAAGCCTACTAAATTGCATATTCATGCATTTTGTTTGACTCTTTGAAGATGGTCCCAGTTTTCTTTGTCTAGGGTCCATTTCAAGAAACCTATTATTCAAAGAATCATTCTTTACTGTTGAGGGAGGGAAAAGCGAATTTCGTTTGTGTCCCTTCTGTAAGAAAGTTTACAGGTGTAATGAAAACTTCTATTGAACTTACTGACAAGAGAAAAAATGTCAAAAGTTTTATTGCTTAATGGGAAAGGTCAATTTTTTTTCTTCTCAAAATGTGGAATATAGGTTTCTTGAACGACTAAATTGTTGAAGTGTATCTATTTTGTATAGTGTGCTGTGTGTTTATTTGCTTTATATCAATGTAAATGTTTCATTATATTTTTGACTAATTCCTCATGCCCGTAGCATGTTTTTAAGACTGAACATTCTCTGTAGCACGCATATTTGTTTATGACTGTTGATATTGTGTGCATCTTGCAATGGTTTGATTGACGTCTGTTGGTAATCAAAGTTGTAAGAAAATCGTCTTTCTTCTTCAATGATAGTGATAATGTTAGTGGAAATAATAGTCTGATTTAGTGAGTGTATTTTCTCCTGGAGAGTGCTCAGTATGCTTCACAGCAAAGATTTATTTGAACCTGTACTCACATTTTTGTAGTCTTAGCAGGATACAGGATTAGATATAAGATCTCTTTGTACATGATGCAAACCAGGAGTTTTAGATACTTCTTTCTCTGCTTTCGTCAATGGTTCACCTGAAAAAAAAAGTATTTGAGATGCATGTTAGAGAATGTTCCCCTGCACAACACTCACTGCCTTGTTGGACCCTGATGGATGTTGCATGTCATGTACATATGTAGCTTCTACTTCGTCTATTTTGAAGACTGGATGCAAGTATCTGAGAAACGCCTTTATGGTATGTGGCATTTGTTGGAGTCTCGCATTCGGCCATCGATATGACTTATAACTGTCATGCTCTTAATCTGCCACATGATCTTGGGGGGGGGGGGGGGGTGTAGCTTTGTAGCATATTAAAATCCTTGTAGTGGCATTTATTGTGTAGTGGATGGGTGCTTCGCAGTTGTGCACAGAAGTGGGAGGTTCGATTCCTTTGTGGAGATAATTTTTATTTATAATGGCCTTCTTCTTTAAGGATATTGTATTTCTCTTAGCTTAGGTTGGCCTTAACATGCAGGGTCAGAGCAACGTGCTACATAGAGTAATGATTTAAATGTGTGTGTAGGGTTGTGTACAACTACAACTTCTACAGCTACAATACTTTGTGCTAGTGACTTCTGAGGTAGGCTCTTAATCTCTCCCATTTTCTTTCCATGCTGGGTCGCTGGAAGGTCCCACTGCTTTGTCCAGTTTGTTCGCTCTCCCTCTATTTCCATTTTTCTTGCTCATTCCCAGCATAAGTGATTGTTATCATGTGAAGGTGCCTCTTTTTCTTGAAATATGTTCACTTCTCTAAATCAATCACATCTGCAATCTGTTATCTTTTTTTTTTCCGGAGGGGATATCCCATTGCGTTGCAAGGTGCTCCAGTGTTGCCCCTTCCTTCTTTTCAATGTTTGTTCCAAAGTGTGATGGTTATGGTACTGACTTGCTTTGAAGTACTATTCCAGAAAGAACCTACCAAGGGGATTATTAACCTAATGTTTCTCACACACTGGTGGAGGTTTCTGTGTGAATTTGTATAAATATATACACACGTGTGTGAAGTGTAAGCAACGAGCTTTCTCTGAATTTTTGCCAGAAACTAGAGTTTCTTCACAAAGGTTAGGAAGAAAAAGGTGTGAAGCTGTTGTTGTTTTTTTTACTCCAAGTTCAACAAAGTTGTATTCAGCTGTGGGTGCACGAGCAAGCTCAAGGTCTTAAAGAAATCGAGTATATGTGTGCGCGTTGTCGTCTGTATGTGTCTAGGCCCAGGGCTGTCAGAGGGAAGAAGAGGACAGAGGAAACCTACTGCAACGCCAGCTGGCCGAGGTCAATGACTCCGTTGAGGTATTGTGGTCCTTCTTTGCTCTTTTGCCCCTTCACTCCTTACTATTATCTTTTATTCTAGCGAGTGGTTGGTGGGCAGTAGAGGTGGGTCTGACTTCCTTCTAGCTACTTCTTTTCTTTCCTCTGATGTTTCTGTCTTTTTGCTCTTTCTGTACACTAAGTGACTGCTATTGTGTTTATGTA